CTTTTTAAGTTGCATCAGGGAGTTTGCATGTTCTCCCCGTGCAGCATGGGTTCTCTCCGGGTTCTCCAGCTTCCTCCCACACAATCCAAAAACATGTTGAGGTTAATTGGTGATTCTAAATTGCCCGTAGGTGTGAATGTGAGTGTGCTTGATTGTCTGTCTCTAAGTGTGGCCCTGCAATGGACTGGCGACCTGTCCAGGGTGTCCCCTGCCTTCGCTCTAAGTCGGCTGGGATAGGCTCCAGCCCCCTGCGACCCTAATGAGGATGAAGCAGTGTATAGATAATGAATGGATGGATGGAAGTTGCATCAGTAAACTAGAAAAGATAAATTCCTCTATAATGTCTGACATTGGAGCACTTCCGAGGCTACTTTGGTTATGATGTTGTGTTTATTTTTAACCTGTATGCCACTGAGAGCGTACAAAATTTCCTCAACTCAGTGCTTAGCAGGTACACTCCTGTTACACATTGGTGAATAAAAGAAGGCGTAATAAAATCAAACAGATCGCACCACCTTTCCAAGCTCTTTGAATAAAGGGATGCCTTCAGTCGGGTTTTGAAACTGAAATGCTGGAAGATTCTAGAATGTTTTAGAATTCTAGAATGCGCCAAGATTCTAGAATGCTGTATTCTAGAATGTCATAAGATTCTAGAATGTTTTAGGATTCTAGAATTTTGTAAGATTCTAGAATGTTTTAGAATTCTAGAATGTTTTAGAATTCTAGAATGCTGTAAGATCAGGGAATGCTGTATTCTAGAATGCTGTAAGACCAGAGAATGCTGTATTCTAGAATGTTATAAGAGTCTAGAATGTTTTAGGATTCTAGAATTTTGCAAGATTCTAAAATGTTTTACAATTATAGAATGCTTTAGAATTTCAGAATGCTGTAAGATCAGACAATGTTTTGGGATTCTAGAATGTTGTAAGATTCTAGAAAGCTTTAAGATTCTAGAATGCTTTGGGATTCTAGAATGTTTTAGGATTCTAGAATGCTGTAAGATTCTAGAATGTTTTAGGATTCTAGAATTTTGCAAGATTCTAGAATGTTTTAGAATTCTGGAATTTTTTAAAATTCTAGAATGTTTCAGAATTCTAGAATGCTGTAAGATCAGATAATTTTTTAGGATTCTAGAATGCTGTAAGATTCTAGAATGTTTTTAGATTCTAGAATGCTTTAGGATTGTAGAATTTTGTAAGTCTAGAATGTTTTAGGATTCTCTGAGTCTACCCTGGGCTGCCAGGTGGTTGGTGGTTAGCACCATTGCCTTGCAGCAAGAAGGTGGCCAGTTCACGTCCCGGTGAGGACACCCGGGAGTTTGCGTGGAGTTTGCATGTTCTCCCCATGCAGCGTGGATTCTCCCCGGGTTCTCCGGCTTCCTCCCACACAGTCCAAAAACATGTTGAGGTTAATTGGTGATTCTAAATTGTCCGTAGATGTGAATGTAAGTGTTCTGGGTTGTCTGTGTCAAAGTGTAGCCCTGTGATAGACTGGCTACCTACAAAAGTCTAGGTTTTAGAATGTCGTCAGACAGAATGCTGGAAGATTCTGGAATGCTTTAGGATTGTACAATTTTGTAAGATTCTAAAATGTTTTACAATTGTAGAATGCTTTAGAATTTCAGAATGCTGTAAGATTAGACAATGTTTTGGGATTCTAGAATGCTGTAAGATTCTAGAAAGCTTTAAGATTCTAGAATGCTTTGGGATTCTAGAATGTTTTAGGATTCTAGAATGCTGCAAAATTTTTAGAATGCTTTAGGACTCTAGCATGCTGTATTCTAGAATGTTTTAGGATTGTCTGTGTCTACGACTTGATTTTGGACATGTAAATAAGAGATGAAGACAGATGGACCGTGGGACTTCTAGCTAAATACAAAAGTCTCGGTTTCAGAATGTTCTAAAATACAATGCTGTAAGACTCTACAATGCTGTAGGATTCTAGAATGCTTTGGGATTCTAGAATGCCGTATTCTAGACTGTTATAAGAGAATGCTTTAGGATTCTAGAATGCTGTATTCTAGAATGTTTTAGGATTGTCTAGGTCTACTCTGGCTTGATTTTGGACAAAGAAATAAAAGATGAAGACAGATGGACCGTGGGACTTTTAGCTAAATACAAAAGTCTAGGTTTCAGAATGTTCTAAAATACAATGCTGTAAGACTCTACAATGCTTTAGGATTGTACAATTTTGTAAGATTCAAAAATGTTTTAGAATTCTACAAAGTTTTAGAATTTTAGAATGCTTTAGAATTTCAGAATGCTGTAAGATTAGACAATGTTTTGGGATTCTAGAATGCTGTAAGATTCTAGAATGCTTTAAGATTCTAGAATGCTGCATTCAAGAATGTTATAAGATTCGAGAATGCTCTAAGATTCTAGAATGTTTTAGGATTCTCTGAGTCTACCCTACTAGAGTGTGGACAAGGAAAGAAGAAATGAAGATTTATGGACCGTTGGAACTTTTACCTACCAACAAAAGTCTAGGTTTCAGAATGTCCTAAGATAAAATGCTGAAAGATTCTCGAATGCTTTAGTATTCTAGAATGTTTTAGGATTCTAGCATTCTGTATTCTAGAATGTTTTAGGATTGTCTGAGTCTACCCTGGCTTGAGATTGGATGAGGAAATAATAAATGAAGACAGATGGACCATGGGACCTTTTAGCTACCAACAACAGTCTAGGTTTCAGAATGTCAAAAGATGAAATGCTGTAAGATTCTAGAATGTTTTAGGATTCTAGAATGCCGTAAGATTCTAGAATGCTGTAAGATTCTAGAATGCTTTAAGAGTCTATGATATAAGATTCTAGAATGTTTTAGGATTCTTGAATGTTTTAGGATTCCGGAATGCTGTAAGATTCTAGAATGCTGTAGGATTCTACAATGCTTCAGGATTCTAGAATACTGTAAGATTCTAGAATGCTGAAAGATTCTTTCACGCTTTTTGATTCTAGAATGTTGTAACATTCTGGGTTGCTACAAGATTCTGAAATGCTTTAGAATTCTAGAATGTTGTAAGATTCTGGAATGCTGCAAGATTCCAGAATGTTTTAGGATTTTGGAATGTTACAAGATCCTAGAATACTCTAAGATTCTAGAATGCTGCAAGATTTGAGAATGTATTAGGATTCTAGAATGCTTTAGGATTCTAGAATTCTGCATTCTAGAATGTTTTAGGATTGTCTGAGTCTGCCTTGGCTTAATTTTAGATGAGGAAAATAAGAAATGAAGACAAATAGACCATGGGACCTTTTATCTACCTACAAAAGTCTAGGTTTTAGAATGTTGTAAGATAGAATGCTGTAAGATTAGAGAATGTTTTAGGATTCTAGAATTCTATGAGAGTCTAGAATACTGTAAGATCCTAGAATGTTTCAGGATTCTAGAGTGTTTCAGGATTCTAGAATGCTGTAAGATTCTAGAATGTCTTAGGGTTCTAGAATGCTCTAAGATTCTAGAATGTCTTAGGATTCTAGAATGCTCTAAGATTCTAGAATGTTTTAGGATTCTAGAATGCTCTACGATTCTAGAATGTCTTTGGATTCTAGAATGCCCTAAGATTCTACAATGCTTTAAAAAAGTAATCAGTTTAAAGCATTTTAGCAGTGTCATGTGCATCGTGTTGAGACTGCATCATACTTTGTTAAGTTGTGTTAAGTAGTTCACTGCGTAGTTTCACACAACAAATACTGTTTTCACGACAAACTGCAACTTCCTTGACTTGTAAAGTATCTTTTACGTTGACAAACACGATGTGTGTCATTCGTGGTACAATACAATTGGAATCAAAAAAATATCAATCTCTCGCAGTTGATCAGACATTTTTGTTCAAAACTTAAGTGAACGTCCCCTAAAGGTCCTCTGAAGTTTTTACGAGATAACTTTCAGCAAATGTTCCCTGGACGTTTCCTTAATTTTATTATGTTTGAGGCTGATGTTTACTCATTTTCAGGTAACCTAAACTGTAAACTTCAGGGAATCTTCCATGAAGGTTCCCCAAATACCTTTCAGGGAATGTTCTCTGAACGTACCTTTAAATTATTTTTGTAGATGTTATAAAAACTGTATATTTCAGGGAATCTTCTGAGAATGTTCTCTGAAGTCATTTTTTTCCTGGTTACAAAAACTGCTACCTAAACTGTAACCTTCAGGGAATATTCCCTGAATGTTCCCTTAGAGTTATTTACAGAGGTGATAAAACTGTTACTGAACCAGTACCTTCAGGGTATTTTCAGGGAACCTTCAATGGTTATTTTTAGAGTTAACAAAACTGTTACTAAACCTTTAACTTTTAAAGAACCTTTAGGGAACGTTCTCTAAATGTTGTTTAAAAAAATGGCAGGCTGTTTCCATAGACTGCATATATATAACTCAGGTTTTGTAGACAAATGTGTTTACGCCTGGCTGTCTAACCTTAAGTTTAAAAATAAATAAATAAATACATTTCTAATAGTCTTAGAAATTCCTACATGGTGTCAATTTCAGGAAGAAGACAGGAAAAATATATATATATTTAAAATAATAATATTAAAATTTATTTTATTCCTAGTATGTAAAACATTTTCGTCCTCGATTTGGAAGATAGGAGGCTGGGAATTTTTTTATTTATTTTTTTAAATTATTTTTATGGGTTACGTGCACAAATGCTGATTACGTCCACTGTGACTGAAACTGTAAAGGATGCCTCAGACATACATGTGACGTGGAAGTGTAGTAGCGATGCACTGTCTGTGTGCTGGAAGCGTCCATAATAAATACTTCCTCAGCAGTGGTGTGATGGGAGTTGAACTCGGAGCTGCTGACCAATGAGAAGCAGTCTGAGCAGTCATCCCAGCAGCAGCAGCAGCATCAGTGTGTTTCTGTGTGTGTGAGTGAGTGTGTGTGTGTGTATGTGTGTGTGGCAGCTTTAAACGGGGGAATCTGGACACCCTCTCTGAATTGAATAGGACCCTCTGCAGGCAGGCCGTGCTTTCAGCCCCTCTCAATGTGCTTTTTACCAAATGGAAGCAGAGGTGTTGAACCCCCAGATGATGGCGGACGTCAATGGCAACAATAAAATCACCAACGCGGAGCTGGAGGTGTTGAAGCTGCAGGAATTGGTCCGAAAATTGGAGAAGCAGAACGAACAATTGCGGACCAGAGCGAACGCTGTAAACAATTGCTCCATCGGCCCTCATCTCCAGAGCTCGCTGTCGTGTCTGCACGGAGCCCCGACGTGTCCCACTGACCATTTCTCCAGCAAATATGACATTTCTAGTCCGACACAGTCGCATCCGTGTCTCCCTCGAGGTCCGGCGGAGGAGCCATTCGCTTATTTCCAGCCGAGCTCGGCGCCTCCTGAGGCGGCTGTGGAGGACAGCGGCGCCGCTGGAGCCACAACTGTGCTGGATGAGGTTGATATTCTGGACCTGAGCACCGTGCTGCCCGTCGGAGAGCCTGATAGCTGGTAACTGCTCTGTCACCCACTTTACGGCACTTACATGTTTGTTTAGGGGTTTAAAATAATAAATCAGAGTCCCTGGTGTTTGTGTGACCCTAATAGATGCTTGATAGGCCACAGCTCTGACAAGCAGCCACACTCCTGACACAGTATCTGCCATGTATCCTCCTATTGATTGCATTACTGACTCTGCTCCTGTTGACTTGCAGACACTGAGAAACAGAGAGGAAAAAGAACAAAACCACATCTGACACCAGCTCAGAATGCACTGTGCATGCAGCATAGGTAGCTATTCAGAGTAAGGCAGCACTGAGATGAAATTAGAAACAATGACCCCCTTCAGCCTGTGATCAAACAGCTCGGCTTTGTGTGTAGTGTTCAGCCCCAGGCTGAACTACTTTGAAGCGCAGTAGCTGCTGACTTGGGAAGCTCACACACTGACATGCTGACTACTGAAGCATCTCCAGGTTTATGTATCAGATGTGATGATGTGGAAAATGTAGCACACAGCTGAAAGCAGCACTGATGGGATCCAGTGTTCGCTCTCTGCCTCGGCGTATCCTTACTCCATTTAACACGACTAATTTAGCCCTCAAGTCAGTGTAACATTCTGGCCTAGTTGCTGAATAAGAGGTCAGAGTTGTCTGGTCTGTTTTCTTTTAGTTGGCCACAGAGGTGGTGACACATCTTTTTTTTTAAATGATTTTCAGGAATCTGTTATTTCAGTGTTGTATTATCACACACACAGATTTGTTGTATGGATTAATATTATGCTCTTGTCATTTAAAGCAACCCTCAGAATCAGATTGCTTGTTTTATCCTCTTCATAGAGTAGTCAGTTGCTCCACTCATAGCAGGCAGCCAACAAAATGGGAGTCTCCAAACTCCATTTATTTCGATGCAGTTTTTGATGATTTTCTTGCTGTTTCATCATTGGAGGTGTAAAATGTGAAAACTGTGAAAAATTCATTTTTTTATAATTTTCTAAAGTGGCATCTAGAAATGGATTCGACGGAGGGTTTAGTCAGACCTATATCAATACCGATCATTAGTAATCAAATCAAAATGGTAATTGTTAACTTATATTTGGAACCACATATATGTATTTGCAGAAAGAATAATAATCTTGGTATCAAAGCTGAGAATAAAACAAACTCCAACACAAAACCAGTTTGAAACGCCTTTGTTTATTGTTGTTTTATATATTTTTATAGAACTGTTAAACATTTATCCTGCAGTATTTATAGGTTGTTGCTCGTGGTGGGTAATTAATCACGCAGGGCTATTGGCGGGACTTTGCCCAAGATCACAGTTAGATGACAACAGATAGAGAGGCAGCTGCATCAGAGCAAAAGTTAGCTTTTTGTTAAATCTTTTTGGGAAAATGCAGAATTTCTGTTCTAATAATCGATCAATCCCTACTTTAGCTTATGTTTTTATCCATGCAACACTGAAATAACCTTAAATTTCCAATTTACTGTTGTATGATACAGATAAAAGAAGCAAATCTTCAAATTTTAGAAACTCAAACCACAGTATTTGCGCATTTTTGCTTGCAAAATCATTCATTGATTATCCAGATAGGTGCTTAAAACTGATCGATTCAGCACTGAAAGTATCTACCGCCCACAGAAAGAAGAGATAATATCACAAACCCTTGTGTGTCTCTCTGTGGCAGTCACATTCCATATATATCACTGCAGTGGGTGATTTTTATTTTACGCTGTTGGTTCCAGAGCTTAAGTTGTCACCATTGAAATTGCATTCGCTATTTATGGAAACTTTTAGGGCGTATTGACATTTGGATTTTATTAAAGTGGCCTTACTTTACCGGGTAACTCGGCTGAAATATATTGCTGCTGTAAAACTCACCCCTTGAGATCTGCAGCTACTATTTCTTTGTGACTGTTCTGCAAATAAATACAGCAGACTCAGGCTTATGTAACTTCGGCTCTCCGTGGGCCGCGCTGTAAAGGTGTCAGGACCTGACTGTGCATTGTGTTGTGTGTTCCAGGCTGTATGTGAGTCCCAGAGCCCGGCTGCATGGCGACAGCATTCTCAGCCCTCTTCAGTGGTGCAGGCAGGTACTGGACCACCCGGGGCCTGAGGTGGAGCTCGCCAAGATGACGCTCTGCCACAGACTGGACCAAGGTACAGTGTATCTGTCGCTCAGATTAACATCCTTCATCTCCTGGCACATCTGTCTCTCTGGCTGCTGACATGTGATCATAAGCTGCGACACACTTCACACAAAATGTCCGCACGTGCAACAGGATTTCTGCTGCTTGCTGCAAAGTCTGAACTGTGGGATCTTTTCACTTTGCGCAGCTCAATTGTTTTTGCCATTTAACTCGGTCTCTTTAAATTTGTTGGGTTCTAAAGTAACGCACCCAACTTTCCCACAGAGTGATTATTTCTGGGGTGGTGGAGTTGGAGGGACTCACACTTAGGCATGTCAGTTTCTCCAGAGAGAGTTTAAGAGCAGTTTAAGGGATTTGCTACTTGGCAGGGGAAAAAATCCATTTGGAGAGGCTTATTTTGGAGATGACTTTACACTATGTTAAGTGAAAAATATTCTAAGGATTATATTCATTGATTCAATCTCTATTTTAGTCATTGAGGGCAAGCCCACGATGATGTCGAGAGAAGTCAGCAGAGTAAAAAGGCAACAATCAATGAGACAACAAAGAAAGGAACACAGTTACATTCAGAAGCAGTGTTGTCTATGATCATAGATTCAAATTGATCAACAAGTACAGATGCACCACGAGCATATATGTGGTCTTGTTTGCATTGATGACAACTTTTATTTGGAACTGTGCATTGTGCAGTTGCTTAAAACGCTTGTAGCAGGGATTGAATGGCTGACTGGGGAGTATTAGAAAAGCGATACAGAGCTGTATCATCGGCATAGAAGTGTATAGCGCTGATGAAATTATCATCATTACATGGACTCACATATGTGCATTTTAAAAGGAATATTTTAAAAACAATTGAAGTAAAAATGTTTTCTATTTGAAATCTGAATGTTTTTTAGAGGTTGTAGGAGTAGTTTGACATTTCTGGGAGATGCACTTATTTGCTTGCTTGCAGAGAATTAGGTGAGATACTCTCAATAGAAAGACCAAAAACAAGCTAGCGGGGCTCTGTCTAAGGGTTTCCAAATTGGCTTACCACGACCTCTAAATATCACCATTGAGCTATATCGTTTAATCCAGAAAACACAGAAATGGGTCATTCCATCTCACATCATCAAAATTTTAGGACAATCTCTGCTCAACCATCTCTGATTTGATTACACTGGTTTTTTTTTTTAGCCTGAACTATGAATATTTAAAATAGTGTCTGGAAAATTTTAGCTTAATATATTAAATACTTTCCGAGAAAAGAAAAAACAAAAACGTGCTTATTGACCCACTTACAGCACGTTTATTTGCACATTCTAATTTGAAGCTATGTTTAGATAATAATAGTAGCTTATTAACTATTAAAGGTAAAAGTCTGACATTTGTCTGCTAGTTCTCATAATGCCTGAGGTACAAAATCTACACTATTAGACAAGAAGATCAAATAATTGCTCTTCCCACTTGGTCACAAAAATAAAGAACAGTTTTTTTCATTCAACTTTCATAACTGATTGACCATGTACGACAAGCTACACAAAAACAAATACGCTCCTGGATATCTTAGTCCAAATAGAACAGAGTTCAGAAGGTCACTGATGATTTGAGATGGAAAAACTCAAATAAAAAATGACAGTCTGGGGTTTTTGATTTGTGTCAGACCTCTCCTGGATCCTGTTTTCAACCTTTATGATAAGCTAAGCTAAGAATTTGAGAGCTGTAGCTTCATATTGAATGGACAAATATCTATCTCATCATCTAGCTTTCAGTAAGAAAACAAACTTGCAGTGTTTGACACATACACAGCCTACAAATCTGTCATTTCTCAGCTGACTGAGTCACCCCAACAGAGAATTAACCAAAATGTGGTTCCTGTCTGTCTGGACTTTGCCGTAGTATTATCCATCCAGTTGGATTTAGCTTCTATTAATAATGTCCCAGATGAGAGTGAGAATACAATTTATCCACTGCATTGCTGATGCTTATATGCCACAAGATCATTCTTTCTATTCAAATCTATGCATTAGCTGGGATAGGGGTTTATTGAGGATTCAGAAATGCTAATATGCTGCTTATATGCATCAACACATAAACACGATACTACAAAAAAAAAATCCCCAATCATCATAACTGGCATACTTGTGTGCTAATAAATGACATTTGCTGCTGGACCCAGTTTTAGATGTGGTGCTTTTAGACTTTCTGCTCTCGTACATGCATGGGGATATGGTTACCATAGAAACCATGCTTACATTAACTGGGTTTTTGAGGCAGATTTGCTCAGCACTCGCTGCACCAAGAGCCTGTGCAAGAGACTCTAGTGCTGTAAAAGCACATACCACTTCTGGGTGCATGTGTGTATGCTGTGCATGTGTGGGCTTTGATTTATTTATTTTTTTGAGATTCAGAAACAGTTTCCCCTAGATCAAATGTTTGCATCTTGAGGCCGTGTGGTGTCCACATTGTGAATTCATAATGCACATTTGTTAGTGTTTATTTTGATGTTCATTTGGTGTGCGCGGTTCAAGGTCCTCTTCTGTCTCTAAAGCTGTATTCAGTGAAGCCTGGCTCTCCTCCCCTGGTTCGTGAATACATCCTTGTGTCTGAGATCCAGCAGCCGTTGTTTGTGTAACTTGCCGTGAATGCTAGTTTTATCCAGTAGTGGTTGAGCCTAATTGTGTCAGGAATGCCAAATGCTCCACTTTGTCAGGTGTGCGCCTCTCTGACTACCAATCAGACTCTGTGTTTACACGTTGGACACACTCTGTGCAGCTGAGCCAAATGTAGTCTCTCCTCGGTAGTGTTGGGTGTATAAAATAATAGTGTCACCCTCTAATAAGGTATCATATTATAAATATAAAAAGCTGTAACTAATTGCTTGTATTGTCATTTATCAACTTTACAGATTGTAAATAAGCAGTAATTTGACAGCAAAGAGCCTCACGACAAAAATCAATGGTTTGTCAAGCTCTCCATGTCAGTGATTTACAGCTGCTGTACAAACTCAACCATTATTAAAGCAAAACGTTGTGCTGTTAAACCTGTCATAAAGTAGGCTGTGACAGTGATTTGTAAAATTAGTACAGTATGTAACTCTCCAAAGTAGTCCATAGTAGATCTAATTCTGATTTTGGGAATGGGATGTAGCCTACATGCAAAATCCCTGCTTATCCTAAGATCCCTCCAAAAAAAATCAGTGGTTTAGCCCAATGAGCCGCAGTAGTAAGCTAAACCTCGTCTTACTGTATCAGCCTCCTCCGCTGAAGCCGCGACCCAACATCAATACTGATCTGTAAGAGGCAGATTAACATTTGGCCAGAGTGTGTTAAAACATATGAATCCATGTACTGAATGTGTGTGTGTGTGTGTGTGTGTGTGTGTGTTACATGGTAAAATAATCAGACTAACATGTCCTTCGCTGCAATCTTGTCTCCAGCTAAGCGGTGGCGAGGGGTCTCCTCCGTCCGTCCATACAGCTGCATAGAGGGGCTCTCCACCCTCAGCTGCCCCGTCCTGCCTTACACTAAATCTGCTGCACTAACCGAGCCCCCAGGTAACACCAACACATGCATGTCGCTCCTGCTAACCATGAAAAAGTCAATCTAACTTTCTGAGGTTCATTTGTAGGTATGAAAGTTCACTTTGGCCTGCAGATCACATCTCTTCAGGTGTTCATTTTGAAGGCCGAGTGAAATAAAATCACTGTTTCATTGAGGTGATGTCTATAAGTTAACTGACAGAAAAGTAGTTGTCGATTATTGCATTTTAACAACTTGAACGTTTTTATCAATTTTGAGTCAAAATGTCCAGCAATAGGCAGCCTTCCACTTGGGTTTACAGGAATGGCCTTGTAATCGGCCATTTCTGCTGTTCTGTTTCCAACAGTTTCAACTACAACATTTCCTCCTAGTGCACCAAAACAATGACAAATGGTAGTGACTGGATCTAACTCCTGCTGCATGAGCAAGCAGGAAACAGACCATCGGATGGTTTGATATGTTCTCCTATATGGTGCTCTTTCCATTGTTGACGGCGATGTCAGAGAGTAGAAGACTGCTAGTTAACATGGACATCAAGAGGATTAAAAAATGTGCTTGTTGTCCTCTCCAAATTTAACTAATCAGCATCAAAGCCTGCACAGCAAAAATACTAATTTCTGGTGTCTGAACTTATTTCTCCCATGACAAAGGCCCTGAAAGGTAGGGCCACCCCTAAACAGCCCACAAGCTTGTGCAGTGGAAAATTGTTTGGTAACAAATGCAGGTTATTATTAGTATTAAATCATTACTTATCATGTTATTTGTAGCCATGCGAACAGTGTGTTTTTTTCCATAGAGATGCATGGCCCCAAGAGGGTGAACCCAGTTCTGAATTTGTGGCCAGCCATGAGGTGGAAATTCCTGATTTTTTGAGTTCAATGTCTTGATAACTATTTGAAAGATTGCCATGCATTTTGGTTTCATGTTCTCTGCAAGATGAGTTTGAATATTTTATTATAGTGTTTTTTTATTGTACACTTATTTAGACCAAATTTTGGTGAAGTGCTAATAAGGACATTTGTAGCTATAACTGTTGGACCTTCCTTTAACAATGGGAGTCTCAGTCTTATTTTCGGAGCACATTTCGCCGCACTCCCACAGTCATACCTTTTTTTTTTTCCACAAATTTTCCAGTACCACAGTGTGATCTGTTGGTCTCTAAACAGGCCTGCTTTTGTATTCTCCCAACTCAGTTTTATCCTGCCAGTGTGAGGACTCAAGCCTGCTTTTCCAACCTTCAGGACACTGCTGCCCTAATTCCAAAATCTAACAACAATGAAAAACAGCAAGTAACCAGAATGTTCATAAAATGTGGAAATGAAAGCTAATTATCTAACATTTTAGCATAGTTAACATGTAAATCTCTTGGATTTAGGGCATAATAAACTTCACTGCTCAAATTTAAACTCTTCCCTTTAACTGCATAGTTGTCGTTTCATTTTACATCCACAGCAATAAGAACATCGAGCCAAAAGCAACTGTTGCTTCCAAAATACTTTTTGGAGCTCACTGCGTAAACATAACCCAGATTCTTAAACAACCTGCTACTTGCAAGTTTACAACCAGATTAGAGCAAATTGCAGGGAAGAGATTATGAGGTCATAACCTTCAACAGATGGAAACAAGCAAACTGGACCACAGGAAAGCTCCTTCCGCCTGGTCATCCATATTTTATATTGACGCAAATAACCAGAGAGTGCAGGTTTGATTTGTATGTCAAGCTGGTCATCAGTGATTGAATCTTGTCTCTCTTTTGCTGTGTTTTTTTTTCTCCTCGGAAGCCCCGTTGCCGTCCTCTGGCCAGTCTTTTCTGCAGCCCACTCTCCCTCTCAGGGCCAGCTGCAGCCTCACCGACCGAGCGCCCACTTTCCTCTCAAACTCCACACTCCACAGTAAGATCTCAGCGACAACATGTCTCTGTCATTCATTTCATCAGGTGTGAGTCACCATCCATCTGCGACGATTATACACACATGGGAAAGCTTCTTCTGTTCTTTTTTTTCTCTTCTTGGCTAGAGAAAGTAAAATATCTTGAGATTCACGTGTTTTCTCCTGTGTGATTTTTAGATGTGGGACGCCGGCACGCGGCAATCTCCCCCCAGTCTTCCCTGGACAGCGAGGTGGGTGTATCAGAACTGGAGGACGACTCCATCTCTATGAGCTACAAACTGCAGGACATGACAGATGTGGAGGTCATGGCACGACTTCAGGAGGAGAGTGAGTTTACACTTTTTTATGCATAATATATGGAACAGTGCATGAATTTTGGGGTAACTATATCACCACTGCAAACACTGCTATGAAAATGTGTCATTGTCAATATCACATTGTGTGGTGGCATCTGATGAATTATTCGAGACGGTAGTCGGTGGGTGGTTATATTCCTGGCTCACACAATAAATTACACAATAAATCCCATAATGCACTGACGCCGAGTGTGAGAGACTGTGAGGCATTTTGTTGTAGGATTGCACCTAAAGATTAGCTTCAGTATTGATTAATCCGAATCAGCTTTATTGGCCAAGTATGTGAACACAAACAAGTAATTCTGGTGTTTTCTTTACTCCGAAAGTATTACAAAAAATAAAACACAGAAGGAAAATGAGCGTTTAACTACTATGAATAATGTTCTCGATCAGTTGTTTGATGTGTAAAATGTTAGCAAATTGCGAAAAAGATCCGTTAGAAGTATTTCCCGAAGCCCATGGGGACTCTAAAGTCCGTTTCAGATGTGGAATGTGTGACATTGCTGCTTCATTAAAGCACCAGCATTCTATCATTCAGACACTGTTCACTTTCACATTAAAGTTCCCCACAGATTCATAAGACTGGACGGTACATAAAGTGATGCAAAAAAAAGAACCCCACTGATAAACAAAAGACCACATGCAGGAAATTAGACTTCTGTACTGTGACGTATTTCCAAACGAAATGGAAAATACAATTGCAGAAAAGTTGCAAGAAGGATTTAAATCAAATCTTTCATACGTGATTGGATTTAAGTGGCGCCTCCTTTACCCACTTTATTAGATCAGGTGATGGATGATGAGGCCGACAAGAATAAGTTATGCCCGAATTGTGCTCTTAGGGGAGTGTAACTAAAGTTCTTTGCCACATGACATTCAGTGATATGACAACCATCTGCTGGCTACAACCACTCAGAAGCTTACAGTCGTGTGTGGTGTTAAATTTTGTATCCTTAAATCATTTTCCTGCTTTTTTTAACTGATGCACCCAGATTTAGACTCTGTGGAGCTCTCCTAAATGTTGTATGCTGATGTGAAAGCTAGTATATCAAAGGCGTTTTTCAAAGAGAGGGTTGTTAATTGTCATTCCTTTCTGCTGTGTAGATTCAAAGAGAGGATGAGGAGGCTGACACAGAGAGACAGAGATGATTTAGGTTGACATAAGGTTTACTGATCAGGAAAGGTTTCTGAGGATTCTCCCACACCCTAGACTTTATATTGTCCTTCGGTGGGAGTCTGTATCTAGATATAGGACAAAAGGAAAACAAGAAGATAGCTCGGCGCCTAGCAGAATCCGGCCTTGACAGACACAAAGGATGCCTGTCTGTCCTCCTACCGTACATCTACGTAGGGTCATGGTCCTATAGCAGCAAACTTAGAGACAGGTATATATCAGATATAGGTTTTGTAGATTGATGCCCTACATGTCACACATACTTTTGGGGAAGAGGTCAAGGGAAGTTCAAAGGGCCAAAAGCTCAGTATCATTCTAACAGATGCTTAACTATAAAGACAACAAAGTAATTTTTCCTTCACACTTATAAAAACCACCTTAACAGTGTTTATAGCTGTGATTTAGTCCTTTAGTCTTTCAGTCCTTTTCGGAGCGATCGTAACATGACATGATTAAAATTCAGAGTTGCCTCTTAATAAACACATTTTGACTCTATTCTTTTATACTTATTCTTAGAATATTCAGAGTGTATTGACACCTTCACCTCAGCCTTCTGGAGAGACTGAAATGAATTGCTCTGTTACACTGCTGATGAATGGATTAAAACTAAGATAAATGGTTGACCTTTCAGCATTTGAACTTGAGCAGGCAGCAATATCTTGATATCTTGTTAAATTATGCAGAACATTTCAGAAAAACTTCCCCGTATCAGTCTGGTTTAACGATTCAGCAACTGAATAATGGATGAGAGTCACCTCCAGAAGGAAATGTATCAAATACTACAGGAGGTTCAGGTTCATGTTTTTAACTGATAGAAGCACTGATCTGCTGCCCCGTAGGTCTCCGACAGGACTACGCCTCTACCTCAGCCACCGCCAGCCGTCGCAGCTCCAGCTTCTCATTGCATTCCCTCAGGCGCAACGAGATGGATCTGGAGGAGGAGGATGAGGAGGACGAGGGCTACGACCAGCTCCCTCCTCCGCAACCTCGGCTTTTCCGCACAGGCTCTATGCAGCGTGGCAGCCTTCCCCACTCCCACACCTTCTCCAGTATCAGAGACTGCAGACGCAGCTCAGCCACGCCTCAGTTTTCACTCAGCGGACTCTCCCAGTACTCTGGACACTCCAGCCTGATCACAGAAACACACACAGCATACAGGAATAGCACAGGTGAGTGTTGATGCAGCTGTAAGATCACTAAAATAACTATGTAAGTACAAGTGCTCAAATGTTTTCAGTCAGCAAGTTTTTAATCTGAAAGCAGAATTGCTTCCCTTTCCCATTTCCAAGCCTGACTAACGTTGTAATCGAGGACAGATATTACTGTCGTCATGAGGAGTAGATCTGAGATTTTGATTTGAAATGAACTAAGTTAGTATTCTTAAAGGAATAGTGCAACATTTTGGGAAATTACCTTAATTGCTTTCTTCTTTCATATCTGTACAATAGTGACACTGCATCTTGTGGCTAGTTAGCTTAGCTTAGCATCAAAACTGGAAACAGGCGAACCCATTTAAATGGCTCTAACCAAAGTAAAAACAAAAAACTCCACCTACCGGCACCTTCAAAATTCAGTAATAAAGATATGTTGCTTGTTTAATTTGCAAAAATTGAGTCATTCTATCTCAGATTTTTAGATCAATTCGATCTGCTCAACCATCTATGATTCCCCTGAAATTTTAGCATTAAAATCTGGATATTTATGAAGATAAACTTTTGCTTGATATATCAGATACTTTCCAAAAAAAATGCCTATCAACCTACTTTTAGCACGCTTGTTTACACTTTTACATTTCCCAATTTGAGGCTATGTTTTCACAACAATATCTGAAGAACTTTTAACTGTATGTAGATGTATGCCACAATTATAAAACACACAACATGAAGAATACTTTTAAATGTGAAATACTTATAAAAAAGGGAAAGCTTTTGTAGCTTTTATAACTGATGGTCAATAGCCTAATCAGGTAGAACACAGTTTTGGAGTTTCAAAATTCTTCTCAAAATATAACATTTGTTTTTGTTTTTAATGGGCATATTTTTCCATTTTGGACCCTACTTTGTTTGCTGGGAACAGATTATAAATCAATACCATGATGAGTAATAACAGTGAAAAAAATTCAGGCTTTTATCTTTAATAGTTAAAATCAAATTTCAATGTATGAAAAAAATGTGCTGAAAGTGGGTGGACGGGTAATCAAAAAAAAAATCTCTGAAAGCACTTTCCAGATCAATCTAAAATGTATTATTTACCATTTAAAATATCCATAGTTTATGATTTTAAAAAATTCATTTCAAGCAGATCAGAGATGGTCAAGCAGAAGCCCCTTGATTATTTAAGATGAAAGAACCCAATTGTGAGTGTGACTAAAGTGTAGTTATGTTCATATTTATTTCTTGGTCAAATTCAGTGACCTTCATATTTTAAAAAATGCCAAATTATTCCTCTAATGTTGGAAGTGTAACTGGAAAACTTGAAAGGCTCCTAATAGACCTGACACCTGCAGGAACTGATTGGCTTTCTTAATATTGTTGCATAGACAAGCTTCGGAGAAGCATGCCCAACCTGATCAGAGCTCCCAGCATGCCCAGTGTTCCCAGTATTCCATGCCTGGCCTCCCCTGTCAACCCACCCTCCCACGGTCCTTCCTCTCTGCCACCGATGCCCTCCCTCCGGAGCAGCCAGAGCTTTGACTCGTCCAGTGGGCTCGCACGACTGCAATCCTCCAGTAAGACTCTCCTGTTTATGAATAAATCAGATGTGCAAAGCTCATTTTTAATAATGAGCAAACGTGCTGCTGTCTTCTGAAGGCATTGCAATATTCAATTTGAAATCTGCTGTGTTCCAGTTCCCTCCCCAGGCCAGCTCAGTCAGCGAGTACAGAGCGTCGGGAACTTTCCCACCACTCCACGACATCCACTGAAGGCCACAGCCTATGTGAGCCCAACTGTGCAGCAGGGTCCCACCTCCACCTGTCTGTCCACCTCCATTAGTCTGAACTCCATCCCCAGCAGCGCCGCTCTGCCTCAGCCCCTCAAACCCAGCAGCAGTTTGCTACCACAAGCCCTCAAAGCCAGCAACCAGCCGACCGTCCCCCGCAGTTCCCTCCCTCGACCAGCCTCCTTTGTAGGAACAAGTGGAGTTCCACGTGCAAGTAAAATCACCCAACCCACACGCAGGTAAGAGCAGCAACACTGACTCAGTGGGTGTAAAAGGGAACGCCATCAATTTTACACCTCAGATTCTGGTCACAAGTCTTGGTAGTATTACTGCATTTGAAAACAAGAAGTCATGGAAGCTTTTAGTGGCTCAAGTTGTGTTGTTAAAAGTTTGAAAATGAATGAATGTTGTGGAATTAGAAACAAGTGAGATTACCAGATCTCATTGCTCCATTGATTTTGATACTTTTTTATATGTGGGATTAAAGTGGAGGAGCCCTTTTTTTCTCAGTCAATCCTGTAAAATGTGAAAGCAGAATGTGCTTTGGAGCTGGTGTCAGAGCTGCATACCTGGAATGTTCAACATTGTTAAATGTTTCAGGATTAAACATGTTAATTCTTGTTTATTTTCTGCAAAAAAAAGTATAATGTAAAGCTGAATGTATAATACAGTTACAGCTATTATTAGTCAGTTACTCAACAGAATGAGACCTTATCAGCAATTTATATAAATTTTGATTAAGCAAGTACAGTCGTGACTTGATAATCCGACCCTTAAAATCTGAAAACCTTGCTGTCTGACAGGTTTTTAGGAAAAAAGAACGGAACCCATGAAAAATAGCCTTAACATACCGACAGCCTTGGATTCTGACTCCGACATGACACTTTATGTCACAAATAAGGATAACGACGTATTATCTGACTTAACAATCCGAGGTCTTAAAGCTCAATTCAGATTTTTTGTGGAATCCGATTTTTTCGAGTTCGTTCACGTTTCCAATTAAATACGACTTGTATGTGATCTGCTGTTCATATGAACTTCATATGACCCAAAAGTGTCCCGCATGCGCAGAAGAGGACACATCGACGTGACACGCAGCAAGCGTGCTCAGTGTTTATGGAAGTAGACACGGATGGTAACAGTGGAGCATATCTGCCACTCCCCAACCGCCGCCGATGGTGGAAAGTACTGTGACCGCTAACTAAACTGGCATCAGCAGCCAAGTACTGCCTGTGCGTTGCGGCCACTTCCACCCTGTCGGAGCGCATCCCCGGGGTGGAAGTGGTCCCCCCGACTGCGCCAAATATTTAGATATTCATCATTAATTGGATCTGTTTTGTTCAGACTGTTATGAAAAGATCAGATACAGGTCGCATAGGAGAAAACAAAATCAGGTTTGGGTCACTTCAGCTTGCTGTCTGAACGTATTTACCTTTGATGTCAACCAACGGGCCCGTGCACAAGCGCACCGGTCAATTAGGCATGAAATCCAGCGATAAGTAGTGTTCTAACAATGCACTAGTTATTATAACAACTACGAACAATGAATATTAACGACAAATGACCCTTCAAGCATCAAGCCCTCCTTGTATCTTGACCTCCGTCTTGACAATCCGACAGCCTTGCTATCCGACATAGAAGGAGGTTTTACATTTAGTGTTGGATTATCAAATCACGACTGTAATTCGTTAATCAAAAATGCCAAACCTTTGATTATTTCTGTTTCTCAAATGCTTTTCTGCTCTTACACTATTGTAAACAAATTTTTTTTTTACATTATATATAGAATTTTGTAATAACTTTTCAATAAGATATTTAATAATGTCACAATATCAAGATGCTCATTTGTCATTCCTTTACGATGTTTTATACAGCAAGTTATTCACAGACAATTAATTAGTTGCAGCCCTCTACTGTCTAAATATGGAACATGAAATTGGGACACGGTGCAGGTGCTTTAATATTTACACCGATTGACCTGAAAGAGGTGCTATTGTGACAGTGAAAGGCAAACTTTGAAACCAAGCTAAATCGGTTTGCTTTGACGTTTGTATGGCCAATGCATCTTCTTATTTCATTTTATGAATTCAGATGCAAACTGTTTCTCTCTTTCCGCAGTTTGCTGACTCCTCCAAAGAGTCTGGCTGCTCTGAGCGCCCTGAGGGACGGCAGCTGGAAAGATGGCTGCTACTGAACCCAAATAATCTGAGGTTGGAGAGGAGCACAGGGAGAAGCATGGGACCCAACCTAGACTGTGAACCACGAGAGGGTGACTGTTAACATGAATAAAAGCACTGCTCTTCACTGAAGGACAAAGTAGAGACTGAGAATAGTACGGGTCCAGCAGGCTGGATCTTTACTTTACTACCTGCTGAAACACAGACTGACACACTACCAGGCAATACTCTGATAATCAGCTGTTAAATGTGAAACGGATCCTCTTTGATATGTGTTTTTTTGTTCATCATCGTGGATAGTTAATGCTTTCATTCAATAGAATGAAAATTCCTCTCCAGTTGAACGCTTAGAAAAAAAGAATAGCCCACGCTTTTGTACATGCTTTTAATGGTTTCATATGACTAATTTTGCAAGGTTTTTTTTTTTTGTTTTTTTGTTTTTTTTTTTGTCAGACTGTGGTGTCAGAAACAAAGTTGAACCTGAAATTGGAATTTTGTTACTCCCTGTGCCTGTTAAGAAGTAGTGTGATTCACGTTAGGTATATTTATTGGCTGGACCTCACAGCACTTTGGATAAGAAATATGATTAACACATTAAAATAAATGATCTTCCTTGTTTTTCTTATGTAAGATATGACATTCATTAATGTCAGTGTACACACTTTATCTTTTGGCTAGTTTTTTTTTTTTCATTTATTGTTTACATGAAATTTTAATGTTCTTTGATAAACATAATCACTGCAGTGATATTGCACATAGAGCTCCGATGCTTTTTATGGATGACAAGAAGTTAAAGAAGTGGTGAGTTTTTAAAGTGAATAAAAGCATTTCAAAACAACTTTGCATGGTTCTGGTTTTGCTTGCATATCTGCCACCAGGGAAGTAAAGAACCAATACAACTGGAAGACTGCAAAGGAAATATGAAATGAATTAAAGCAGTTCTTGTCATGTTCAGCAAATCATGAGCTGTAGATTGCATTGTTGTTGTTCTGTTATAATACTGGTCAGAAGTTTGTGTACTTTTCAGGAAGTAAGGACATCTTTATTTAAAAGGGATGACTGAAGTCAAAAACACTGATAATTTAAAATGTATATATATATTTGTCCATTCAGAAATTAGCTGATGTTAGAATTTTGACGCAAGTTTACTAAGCTTTGGTAATCAGTTTCTCTTAACACAATCAGCTTTGGAAAGTAACTAAGTACATTTACTCATGTGCTGTACTTAAGTGCAACTTTGTGACACTTTATGTGAGCATTTCAACTTTACACTACATTATACATCCAATGCATATCCGAGAGCAATATTGCAATTTCTATTCTACTACATTTTTCTGCCAGGTAAAAATTTTACACAACGGAAAATAAACCTTTAAATACACTCTATTGTTAAATATTAAGCCAGTGTTAGTCATGTGACATCTTACGAAAAGCAGTGTGTAGTTTGTCACGTTTCACATGTCTATAAATTGCTACCAGTTCCACATATTAGTGATTTTTCCTGTAAACTTCTTGGTTTCATTTCAATAAATGTTTGAATGATTCAATATCTCAACAAAATCCAGAGATGAGGGAGAGAAAGTCCACAAACTTAAAAAATAAAAAGAGATCTGTGTAGTGAAACTTTGTCTTTCCATCTTTCCAGTCATCATCTCTGGACCCCTCTGATTTATCTGGTGTTGCTGTATGTAAAACTGTGTATAAAGTACTTCAAATTAGCTCCCCCTGCAGCAGCTACAACAGCTACATGCTGCTAACACTGATGCTTCACTAATAATAATGTAATTATGTAATGGATATGAATATATCAATCAGAGGGAGCAAACCAGCACTTTGACTTTAATATTTAAACTACTTTTGCTGCTGATATTTCTGTACTTTTTCCTAATTAGGTTGTTTTATGCATTACTTTCAGCTGCAATGGAGCATTTTTATATTGCTGCATTGGTACTTTGACTTCAATAAAGGATCTGAATACATTTTTCACCACTGATCACAGTCCAACTTCATGAGGCAAGACCAACAAAAGCAATGGTCTCATTAAATGATATAAGGAATGTAGGACAATTATGTCAATTAACATCCCTGGTAGAAAAAAATATATGCACAAATGTGAGACAAATAAACTTTTTTCTAAATCCTCAACACCTATTGCAAACAGACATTACCTCAGTTCTTCAAAAATGAGTGAAGCTATTGGCTTGTTTAGAATTAAACACTAAACTTATTCCACTGTACTTGTTGATGAGCTAGTGAGGTGGAGACACTGGAGCTAAAGAGTCTAATGTTTAACAAGTTAGTATGTTGGTGTTGCATCTCCCCAGTAACACTCACACACAGCTTGTTACCGTACCTTTGGGTAAGTGACTAAAATCTCCACCTGCTGCTCAAAAATTTGGAGTACAAATGCATGTTTTATCTTTTTCTTTGAATCACAAAACTAGGCTTGAAGACAGATACTTGGAGTGTGACTTGGACTGCTGATCTTTTGGAATTTCTGATAATGCCCAACAAAGCCCAAGAGGTATGTGTAATCCATTTTCACTTTCATGTGTCACTGATCATCTATCAATGCTTTTGTGGAATCTATTATCAGTTCTGAAATCATTCTGCATGTCATCATTTTTTCAGGATGCTGTAATCAATCTGAAAACACTGCAAGAGATTTCCAGGCAGCTTGGTTTTGAATGGACGGTTTTGGCGTATGAGCTTGGCTTCGACAGAACTGAAATTGGGCGCTTCCACACCAAATCTGCAGAGAAGAGCGTTCAGGCTCGGGCCATGTTGGAAAGCTGGTACAGTATGTCGGCATGCGTGTCAAACCTGATGTTATGGTAATGATTAGTCACTGCCAGTGTTTAGATACTGCAGTGTTGTTGTGTGAATACCAGATTATTAACATCAGATCATCCGTGCAGTGTTTGCTCTAGCTTTACTTTTTGAACCAACAAAAAACAAGCCTTTGAAACCAACAATTTATTTATGAACTGAAATATTTGATAAGTTTAGTAATTTATTTGTGTACTGTGGTCTTTTGAGCATCGACTTTTGGACTGATATAATTCCATTTCATATTACACATCAGTGACTTTGTCCTGTTTCCCTGAAATCTTTCTCAGATCTCCCTCTTTATTTTCAGGTATGAGAAGTCATGGGACAAGCCCAATAAGACCAAGCTGCTGCAGGATGGGCTGGAGCGAGCAGGCCGGCGCGACCTGTCTGAGAAACTGCGCTGCCTCCACTGGGGCCACCAGAAACTGAGCCAAAGAGTGGAGCTTCCATCTGCCTTCCCCTTCCTCATTACAGTCCACAAGACCATCCACAACAAAGACGCACTGCGCAGAATCAACGACCTCAACCGCAGATTCACTTAAATGCATCTTGGTGTAACTATGTCCATAAGTTTCACCTTCAAGCATATAGGATTTGTGTCACTGAACAAACAAATGATAAGCATGCCACTTTTTTAAATTAAAGCACTGCAATAAAGATGATAGAAATCAGTATCAAAATCATGTTGTCAATAAATGCAATTAAATAACAATCAATAACAAACAATCATAATCATTTCAGCACTATGTCTAAATGTAGCAGGCAAATCGTGGTGTTGTCAGCTGGGGTCAAAATGCTCACAGGACAGAATCAGTGCATTGACACACTTAAGGAATTTGACTGTTTTTATTAACCTGTAGTTGGTAGTTTGTGAGCTTTCTAACAACAACAACAGCAACAACAACTACAGTAATAATAGCACAAACACTTGCTATATAAATAAGGTAAAGTAGTATTACTCGTATTTTTTTTTACTTATCTTTACTAGATTATTATTATTATTATTATTATTGTTCTTATTATTGTTA